TCTACAACAGTGGCATCATGTAATATTTGTCCTTTTGTGACTGGGATATTTCACTCAGCATAATGTTCTCCAGAGTCAACCATTTTGAATAATATTGCATGAGTTCCTTGTTTTTTATCATGGGCAGTTTTGAGTGAAACAGTTTTCTGAGATGCTGGAGTAAGGCCAGGCGTAAGGCCAGGCTCTGCTGCTGGATGGCCCTGTGCTTCAGGGTCAGGTTCTCGTGTGCTTTTCAATCCCCGAGGGCTGAGGGAAGCTGGTGGTTTTGAGTGACGAGTGAATGAAAGTGACGGGGAGTCCGTGGGAGTCCTGGTGGCACAGAGGATTAGGTTGTGGACAGCTAAAGGAAAGTCAGTGGTTAAAATTGTTGTGTGGGAGCAGTGAGGCGGTCTGTGCACTTCTGTGCAGTCACAGCGTGGAGACCTCAGCAGGCAGGTGTGTCTGGGCTACCTTGTCTCTAAGGTGGTGGGGTGTGGGGGTCGGGTGGGAAGGCTTGCAGCTCCCGCTGCAGGTTGGTTGTGAGGATACCTGGGGCACCTGGCTCCACTGGGCCGTGTCCCCCTTCCTGGTGGAGAGGCTGCCTCCCCCTGCCTGCTACCTGGTGGGCAGGGCTGTGTTCCCTCTGGCTCTGAGGTGACCTGTCTCTGGCAGGTCTGAGTCAGGCGGCTGGTATTTGCCTGGTACTTCCGGGTCTGCCAACCCAGGCAGTCGTATAAAGGCTTATCTTTGATGAGGGCTGGAGGCTGGGCACAGTGTGCTCGACCAGTGGAGGTGGGGCAGAGCAAGTGCCAGCCTCGGTGAGAGAAGCACGTTTCCTCCGGCCCCTTGTGTGCTCGTGTGTGTCTGCGGGGAGCTGGCTGTGTGCTTGTGTGTGTCAGTACGCACACGAGTCCGTATCTGTGTGTATCCCTAAGTCATGCATGTGTACTTGTATGTTTTATATGCTTTTTATAGTTTTTTTCCCCCTATTCATTCATTGTTGCACTTTTCTGCCCTCCCCGCCCCCCCCCCCCCCCCAGTACACTACCCTCTTGGAAAAGTAAAAGAAAAATTCTTTCATTGTTATACAATCCCTCCCCCCAAGTCCACTCCACTATGCAACCTTCATTCTGGACTCCTGTCATGACAATAATACCTAATCACATATCCCTTTTAAACAGTTCTCTCCCTCATCTGTTTCAATGCAGTATACATTATTTATCCCATCTTTCTCAGTCTCCCCTCCAACCCCAAGGTCAGTCCTGTTTTACAACAGTGGCACCATGCAGTATTTGTCCTTTTATGAGGATAGATTTCACTCAGCATAATGTCCTCCAGGCTCACCCATTTTGAATAATATTGCATGAATTCCTTGTTTTTCAGTGCAGTGTAGTATTCCGTTGTGTGAATATACCACAGCTTCTCTATCCATTCGTTTGTTGATGGGCACTTAGGTTGTTTCCAACTCCTTGCTATTGTGAACAAAGCCACGATGAACATGGCTGTGTGTGTATCTTTTATATTGTATGCACGTGTGTGTATCTTTTGTATTGTATGTGTGTTTGTGTCTGTGTATGATGCCTTTCTCTGTATCCCTCTGTGATGAATGTGTGTGTACCTTGTGTGTTGTATCCATGTATGTGTGTCTGTGGACAGCTGTCTGCTTGTGTGTATCAGCACACACAAGTCTGTCTACCTGTGAGTGTCCCTGAGTGATGTGTGTGTGTCTTTTATATTGTATGCACGTGTGTGTGGTTGACACCTTTCTCTGTATCCCTTGTGTGATATATGTGTGCGTGTGTGTGTCTGTACCTTGTGTGTTGTATGCATGTATGTGTGTGGGTACTGGATGCATCCCTGGGTGGGGTGTGTGTGTCTGAGGATATCTGTCTGTCTCTGTAAGGCTCATGGTTCAAATCCACCAGCTGTTCAGTGAAGGAAAATGGACAGCCTCCTCCTGGTTTGCTGCCTCTGAAAACCCACTGAAGGGTCAACGGCGGGTCATTTCCGACTTGACAAGTGTTGCACACTTGTGCTTACTCACCCTGCCCTCAGGTGTCCCTGTGTGCTGAGCCCCCTCCTCTGGTTGCAGCGAGCGTGAGCGGAGACCCTCCTCTGACCTGTGACTCCCATCCTGTGCCTGGGGGAGGCACTGTCTTAGGCCCTGGAAAACGACACATCCCGTCTCCTCCTCTGTAGATGAGATTAAGTTTCTACGTTTTATAGATGTACTGGCTTCTGCCTGGTGCTTGTAAAAGGAAGTGTTCTAGAAAAATCGTCTTGAAGGCTGACGGCCAGCACTGCTTGTTTGCAGGAAGAAGTGCCGAAATGGCCACAGCCTGTCGACCCAGCACAACCTGGGCGTGCTGCGGACCCACGGCGTGGACCACCTCAGCTACAGCGAGCTCTGCCAGCTGCTGTTCCAGAATGACCCCTGGCTCCTGCCCGAGGTGAGCATGGCTGACCCTAACGCTGACCCTGACCCTGGCCCTGACGGAGACGTGACGGGGCCGCACTTGGGGCGGGGGTAGATGGTTGAAAGGACACACAGGGAGCCTTGCTGGGCTGGGTCTTCCCCGTGGACTGGCTGGTTCTGGCCACCTGCTCTCCTCAGTTCCTCCCTTAAACAAGGGCACTCTGACCATCCACCAGAGCCTGCAATGACTGTGCAGCCTGCTCTGTGGCCCCTGCGGCTGGTGGTGGGATCACAGCTCTGGCCTGGGGCCCTCTCCTCCCCAGATGCTGTCCCCTGCAGCCCCCTGAGGTGGCCTTTGTCTTCCCCCCCACAGATCTGTCTCCATTACAACAAGGGGGACGGGCCCTACGGCTCCTGCACCTTCGAGAGGCAGTGCATCAAGCTCCACCTCTGCCAGTACTTCCTGCAGGGGGACTGCAAGTTTGGCGTGAGCTGCAAGCGCTCCCACGACTTCTCCCGTCCCGAGACGCTGGAAAAACTCAAGAAGCTGGGCATGAGCCCCGACCTGGTGCGCAGGCTGCCAAACATCTACCGGAACGCGCACAGCATCAAGAACCCGGGCACGCCGGAGGCCCAGGGTGAGGCCCAGGGTGCTGAGGGGCTGGGCCCGGGGGCCTTGGCCTCTAGCTGGAGGGCAGGGTGCAACCGCTGTCTGATGTGGGGCACATCCACTCCTTCTGGTTGAAGAGTCGTGGAATCCCTTCAACTGTAAAGACAGACTCTAAGTCATAGATGGGCATCAGTCATTATGTTCATGCCACTGGCAGTTGGTGTGGGTGAAGCATAAATTCCAGAGGAGTCTGGCAAGTTCTAGAATTCCAGAGAAGTCTTGTACGTTCCGGTCTTCCCTCTCCAAGTGCAGGCCCCTCCCTCATTCACTGAGGGTCTCCAGAGTCATAAGCACCCTGCTGCACAGACCTGAGAACCCGAGGAACAAGGTTGGCGAATCCAAACCATCAGCCGTGGTCAGGAGAGAGGCAGCAGCGTGCCCCTGTGATGACCACCGAGGCCGGGGAGCCCTCGGGACACTTCTCCGTCCTGCAGGGTCACTCACAGTGAGAAGTGACTCCAGCTCCGTGCCTTTGGTTTAAATGTTGTTGTTGTTTGCCTTTGAGTCAAGCACAACTCATAGCGACCCTGTGAACAAAAGGCCTGAGGCCTCTCTACAACTGTTGACATTTATCAAAGTGCATAGACTTTCCAGAGCCATGTTGTTTAGGAAGTGGATGCCACTCGTGCTTCCAAACCTATCATGTTGTTGTTGTTATGTACCACTGAGTCGCCTGTGATGCATAGAAACCCTATGTACAGCAGCTCTGAACCCTTCTCTGTCCTGAGCCAGTCTCACTAATTCTGACACACCAACACCCATCGCCCCAGTTACTGTATCAGTCCATCTCATCCGGACTCTCCCTCTTGTGCGCTGTCCATCCACCCTTCCGAGCATGATGTCCTTCTCCAAGGACTGGTCCCTCCTGGCCATGTGCCCAAAGTAAGTGAGGCAGAGCTTCAAAATCCTAGCCTCCAAGGACAGACTTGGTTTCACCCTCTCCAAGACAGACCTTTTTGCTTTTTTGGCAGTCTATGGTATGTTCAGGACTCTTCTCCAGCACCACGGCTCGAAGGCATCTATTCTTCTTCTGTCCTCTTTAGTCATTGTCCAACTCTCTGAAACATAACAAGTAATTGAGAAGACCATAGCCTGGATTAGGCACACCTTTGTATCTAGACTGACATTGTTACTCTTCACTCTGGAGAGGTCCATGACAGCAGACTTTCCCAGTGCGGTTTGTCTTTTGCTTTCCTGACAGCTGGTGTTAAGAGTGTTGATTGTGGATCTGAGCAAACTATAATTACTAACAACCTCAATCTCCTCCATCTATCATGGTGCTGTTAATTGGCCCAGTGGTGAGAATCTTTGTCTTCTTGATGTTGAGCTTCAATCCATATTGAAGATTACAGTCCTTGACCTTCTGCAGCAGGTGCTTCAGGTCTTCTTCAGTTTTGGCAAGCAAGGTTGTGTCATCTGCATGTTGTAGGTTATTGATGAGTCTTCCTCCAATCTTGATGCCACATTCCTCCTGACAGAGCCCTGCTTCCTGAATGATCTTTTCTGCATACAGATTGAAAGGGCATGGGTAACATGTAAACAAGAGGCTTTAGTAATCAAGCTTTAATGCAAAAGTTGGGAATATGGAAGAAGGATCTGCAGTTGGAAAATATGGACTTGGTGACAGAAATGAGTCTGGGGATAGAATGATAGAATTCTGTACAACCAATGGTTTATTCATAGCAAATACCTTTTATAAGAAACATAAATGCAGGCTATGCACATGGATTTCACCTGACCCAGGATGCACAGGAGTTGATTACATCTGTGGAAGAAACCGTTGCAGAAGTTCAATATCAGCAGTAAAAACTAGGCCAGGTGCTGATAGTGGAACATAACATCAACTGCTCATATGCAAGTTCAAATTAAAACTAAAGAAGGGTAAATGATATCCACCAGAATAAAAATTTGACCTTGAGTCTGTCTCCCATGAATTTAAAAACCAACTCCGAAATAGGTTTGAAGCCTTGAACACTAATGAATGAAGACCAGATGAGCTGTGAGAAGATATCAAGAATATCATTCACAAAGAATGCAAAGAAATCATTACTACGAAAGAAGAAGAAAAAATCAAAATGGGCATCAGAAGAGACTTTATATCGCACTGGAGTGCCGAGAATCCAAAGTCAAGGGAGAAATCAGGAAGTTAAGGGGCTGAATAGAAGATTTCAAAGGGCTACTCACGAAAACAAGGCAAAACATTATAATGAAATGTGCAAGGAGCTGGAGTCAGAAAATCAAAAGGGACAAACTCGCTTAGCATTTCTTAAGCTGAAAGAACTAAAATATAAATTCAAGCCATGAGTTGCAAAGCTTAAGGATGCTGTGGGCTGAATATTGAATGATTCAAGAAGCATTAAAAGCAGATGGAAGGAGTATACAGAGTCACTGTACCAAAAAGAATTGGCTGACACAGAAGAATTTCAAGAAACAATATGAACAAGAGGCAAAGGTGATGAAGGAGGAAGTGCAGGCTGCTCTGAAGGACTTGGCAAAAAAATAAAGCCCCAGGAATGATGGAATACCAATTGATATATTTCAGCAAACAGATGCTGCCCTGCATGTGCTCACTGAGTTGTGCCAAGTAATCTGGAGGACAACTACTTGGCCAGCTGACTGGAATAGATCCATATTTATTTCCATTCCCAAAAAAAGGTGACCCGTCAGAGTGTGTAAATTATTGACCATTATCACTAATATCACACACTAGTAAAATCCTCCTGAAGATTACCCAGAAAAGACTTGAGCAGTACATTGACAGGGAACTACCAGAAATACAGGCTGGGTTTAGAAGAGGTCGTGGCGCTCAGGACATTATTGCTCATTTCAGATGGATCTTGGTGGCAGAAAGCAGAGAGTACCAGAGGAATGTCTGTGTTTCATTGACTAAGCAAAGGCACTTGACTGTGTAGATCACAATAAACTGTGGCTAACCTTGAGGAAAATGGGAATCGCAGAACACTTGATCGTGCTTATATGAAACCTTTACTTTGACCAACAAGCAGTCCTCAGAACAGAGCATGATTTATAATAGTTCTTTAAAAATCCCTGTGTCCACCCCAAAGAAACCATAACTGCCACCCAAGCAGATATATGCACACCCGTGTTTATCGCGGCTTTGTTCACAATAGCAAAGAGTTGGAAACCACCTAAGTGCCCATCAAACGAATAGAGAAGCTGTGGTATATTCACACAGTGGAATACTATGCTGTATTGAAAAACAAGGAACTCATGCAATATTATTCAAAATGGGTGACCCTGGAGGACATTATGCTGAGTGAAATATATCAGTCACAAAAGGACAAATACTGCATAGTGCCACTGTTGTAAAACAGGACCGACATCGAGGTTGAGGGGAGACTGAGAAAGAGGGGATAAATAATGTACACTGCGTTGAAACAGATGAGGGAGAGAACTGTTTAAAAGGGTTATGTGATTAGGTATTATTGTCATGACAGGAGTCCAGAATGAAGGTTGCATAGTGGAGTGCACCTGGGGGGAGTGATTGTATATC